TATTATATGTTTTATATGCCTCACTAAGTCATCGACTTAGCGTGTGATTATTTCACACGTAGGTTTGGAAAGAGAAAAGATAAGTAAAGAATAACAAGACAGGTCAGTTCTCTTTACCGAATGTCAGATCAGAAGAGAGGTGAATAATATGTATTTTTGTATATAAAGTTCTAGTTGACATGTAATCAAAAGAATTTATTGTATAAGCTCTGAATAGTTTTGTAAATGTTTTGAATAAGTTAAATGTTATAAAAAATTTTAAATTACTCACTATTTTATACGAATAAATGTTTGAAAAGTCAATGTGACACTTCAGACTCGTATCTGGGTCGGATACGGGTTGGGGTGTTACATTTAATGGTATCAGAGCTACGTTTTAACCGATTCTAGGCTAAAAACGAAATCAAAAGTGTTTTAAAAAGTGTACACGTCAACACAAAGTGAAAAAAAATCTGATCTGATAGGGTAAGGAGTATGTTGTCTTGTTAATAGAGTTAAATTGTTATGTTATATAAGATAAGTGAATACTGAGAATGATTTATGAGATATATATATGTTTATATGATATGATAAGTGATATGTGAACATATGCAAATGACATGTTATATGATATGAATTGGATGATCATATGCACACGTGATATGTGATAGAAGAAATGATATGAGAGTTTCTAAAGTGAAATAAAAGACGATAGACCTGAAGGTAATAGCATTCACCTGCCCTGGCCAGGCAGGGAGAAGAGCGAAAACCTCAGGGAATGTTTGTATAAGATTAGAGAATGATTCATGATGTTGAATGATATTCCGATGTGTTTTTAATTGTATACTTCGTTCTCATAGAATGAATGTATCGAAATAGTTAAAAGAGTTATGAGCACCCGATCTCAAGGGTGAATTTGAGGAAGGCTCTGTTGTTACAGACCTTTGGATAAATGATATGAAGATAATGCTAGAAGATGTTCATTTCTCCATAGTGGAGAAATTAAATTGAGAAGTTTGTCATTATGTGGATAAGATGGAATATGGTGAACGAGTGTCACCATAAGGACGTTAAAAGATTAAATGAATTAGTGAGAATTTGTAAAAGAGTTCAAGGATAAGTGCATCAGTGATAAGTGTATAAGGTATATGAAGCCAGAGCTTATGAGTTTGAAACGAAGGGATAATATTGGGTATAAGCAAGAGTGTGGATATGATTAAGAGAATTGGTGCTTCATAGAGTTCAGTACCATCAAAGAGAGTCAGACAGACTCAATTAGTATGGTCTGGTACTGAAAGATTAAACAATGATTTAATTGATAATAAACCAAGGTTAAAGACAACCTTTGTGAATTAGATTAAAAGTTCTGTTAGAGTTATGAAAATTGAAGCGGGAAAAGTGTTATAAAGAGGTGATAAAGATATGATATGTATATAAGAAGATTTTGATAATAAAAGGATAAATGGATAAAGAAATGAAAAAAATGGTGTTTAAATGATTAAATATGATAAAGGGTTATAAGGAAGTGCAGATTGTAAGTTTGATTAGAAGTAAGAAAAGTATGTAAGGTTATATGAAGAGATTATGTGTATCGTAATACAGACAATGATGAAAGAATAAGTAAAAGTTTGGATTGTGGTGAATTAATTAGAAAATGAGGAAAGGAATCAATTGATTGATTTTTTTGATTTGAGTGATAGGAATTGATGTTAATGTTTACAGGATGAGTAACATTATGTGGATTTTAGAAAGGTCAAAGGAAAAATGCATAATCGAATGAGAGAAAATACAACAATGGATTGGTATTATTGGTTATTGTTTATATGATAAGCAACAAAAGATGAATGTATAAACGAAAAAGATAGTTGGAAAACTAAAGAATTGAAAAGTAAGTGTCTGATGATGACAAGAAAGAATAAGTCAGGGAAGCAACATAAGAACATTAGAAGATATATTCTTATCAAGATGTGCAGTGAAAATTCGAGGACGAATTTTCTTATAAGGATGGGAGAGTTGTAACATCCCAAACTATGGGTTAGTGACTTAATTGTAAAGTTTCAGAATTTGGTGATTAAAGTAGAAGAATGGATTAGTTCAATGATTTATCTGGAAATAAATCCTAAAAGATGTTAGTAATTATAAAATGTATTAAAGGGCAAAAGGGTCATTTGACCAAGAGATGAATTAAATAATGATATATATATATATGGATAAGGATGAGAGATTTTCCAAAAATCTCTTCTCTCTTTTCTTCTTCATTTTCTTTTTCCTCCCGTGAAAGCTCCAAGGCAAAGGTAAGATTCCTTGTTAGCTGATGATTTGTTGATTTTAAGAGTGAGTTTTGATCCTTAGGTAATACTTAAGATTATGGAAAGCTTAGGTTGTCCTAAAATCAAAAGATAAAGGAGATAGAGAAGATTAAAGATTAGTGGTTCTTGAATGAAATCTTGAAATAGAGTTTATAATAAGAATTGAAAGTTGGATTTGACTTGTCATCAATCTAAGTAAGAGATATGAAGTAATATAATTGGATTTGAAACATGTTGCAAAATTGATGTAATTATTGAATTACATATGGAAGATAGGATTTTGAGGTTTAAGATGAAATAAATGAGTATAGATTGTTTTAAGTATGTGTACTAGAGTTAAGAATGAAAAAGGGGATGAAACATGAAGGATTTAATCCAAAATGAATGATTTTCGGGTTCAAAAAGAGGATTCTGGGCAGAGTGCATCGATGCATATTCATTGTGCATCGATGCATATTCATTGTGCATCGATGCATCAAGGTTAAAACCCAGAAATTGTTTGAAGGTGTATCGATGCATTGGTAGTGCATCGATGCACTCTTTTAAAATAGAAACATCGAATGCAATTAGTGCATCGATGCATAAGGCATGCATCGATGCATCCCAATAATAATACAACATCGAATGTATTTTATGCACCGATGCATCAGTAGTGCATCGATGCATACCCTTATTGAAAGAGAAATTGACATTTATCTTAATCTAAAGAGTGAACCATTAGAGTATATTAGTTATAATACTAATATAGATCTATGTATGATTATGTAGGTATAGAACGTGATCCCGTTCTGAATCAACTAAAGGATTAGAATCGAATCAAAGCAAAGCTAAGGTGAGTGCAATTTAATTTGTACTTATATTATTGAATAAACATTTGGCTTGCGATGAGCCAGTGATGGAGTTACTATGGTAAGAAGCAACTCCTAAAATGTTATTTGATTGGTGATTAATGTTATGATTTATGTGATTATGAGATATATAAGTTATATGGAAAGTATATGTGAAATAAGATATGAGCTTATATGAATATGTGATATGAATAAAGCTATAAGAAATGATTTATATGAATACATGCATTTGTGATGCGTGTTATATGATATTAGATATATGTTTACACATACATATGGTATGTGACTGAAGAGAATGAACATGTGATTATAAGATCAATGATTACACATACATTTGGTACGTGACTGAAAAGAAAAGATATATGTTCATAAGAGAAAGGATATGAATAAGTAAATTGAACTGTTATGAATGTTAATGCCCATGTTATGTGATAAGAGAGCTAGTGGTATAGTTGGCATGCCAAGGGTCGAGGGTTTACCTATGTTCTTCGGGACATATGGATTGTTTACCTATGTTCTTCGGGACATATGGACTGTTTACCTATGTTCTTCGGGACATATGGACTGTTTACCTATGTTCTTCGGGACATATGGACTATTTACCTATGTTCTTCGGGACATATAGACTGTTTACCTAGGTTCTTCGGAATCTATGGACTGGTCATTCGGGACGAATACTGAACTAAGGTTCGGTGCCCCATGAGGGAATTGATACGAGCTGTGGTGACAGCATTGGTGCACAACCTCAATGTACTCACATACCTTAAGTTCTCACTAGTGTACATGGGCTAATAAAGAGATTAAACAAACATACCGAATGTGATATGTATACGATGGATTTATAAATGGTTTGAAATGTGTTTCATGAACCATATGATGTTATGTGTGTTTTTAATGATAATGATAGAGAATATGATAATGATGGTATATGTTTATGTATGCTTTATGTTATATGAAATATTATATGTTTTATATGCCTCACTAAGTCATCGACTTAGCGTGTGATTGTTTCACACGTAGGTTTGAAAAGGGAAAAGAGAAGTAAAGAAGAACAAGAAATGTCAGTTCTCCTTACCGAATGTCAGATCAGAAGAGAGGTGAATAATATGTATTTTTGTATATAAAGTTCTAGTTGACATGTAATCAAAAGAATATATTGTATAAGCTCTGAATAGTTTTGTAAATGTTTTGAATAAGTTAAATGTTATAAAAGTTTTTAAATTACTCACTATTTTATACGAATAAATGTTTGAAAAGTCAATGTGACACTTCGGACTCGTATCCGGGTCGGATACGGGTTGGGGTGTTACAGTTACCCATACTCTTTCAAAGACTGTACACCGACTCTGAATCAACAATGTATTCCAGATCTAACTCCACTGAATAAAATCAAGTAAAGCCAATGCCTACAGATTTCTGAATTTCATGCATAGATTTTTCCTTTAAATTTGCAAAATATTAGAAGAAGAAAATGTGTTAATGAATTCAAGTAGACAGATAATATAAGAAGAATACACAATAACTATCTAGAATCTGATAATTCGAATGTATGAATACTAAAAAAATAGAAGGATGATTGCAAGTGTACAAATTTAGGACGTGTGGACTTGTTTCATCTTTGTTCTAGACGGAACAAAAAAAGTCGTCTGTTGTTTTGAACAGAAAATGTGTGAATGGTTCGATTGAAAACATATTTTCAAAGAGGGAAAACATGGGAATATGGTGAAAATAACAAAAGCCATTCTCATAAGAAAAGCAAATAGTTAACTATATGATATCCACAGTTTTGAAAAATAGCAAAGCAATAACTGCTTCATTTAAACTGCTTAGAAATGTATTAAACCCAAAAGGGGTTTAGGAGCCAGTGAAAGAAACATGAACGCTCATACCTAAATGAAAACCACCCAACGCATCCTTACTAGGAGCAGAAGTAATAACCTTCTTTGCACCACCCTGCAAAGCAACAAAGCATAACATAAAATAAGAACACCAAACATAAAAATAAGAAAAATAATCAGGGTTCCAAAAGTAAAATCTTTTTCCGTCTCTTGGAAAACACGTCATGTAAATTTCAATCAACTCGATTCCCATAACTCATAACTCATAAGACCATCGGTCTACATTAGCTAAAATTATTTTCAAAAACCTTCAAGTGAGCAGTAGCTTTGTCTTTGTCGGTGAAAACACCAGTAGACTCGACAACGTACACGGCTCCAGCCTCAGCCCATGGGATTTCCTCAGGATTTCTGTCATCGACCAAAAGCCAATCAATAAATCAGATTTTATATGATTTTTTTATCTCCATTCCCCTCTTTTCTTAAGGACAAGAGAATATTACCTGAGACCAAAAACAGTGACATGTTTTTCACCAAAGAGAAGGGTTTTTGAGTCCTTCACCTTAAGCTCATGGTGCTTCCATTAGCCATGAACACTGTCGAACTTAAAACATGTAGGTCTATACGCATAAAATTACCCAGCAATCAAAATATTTAATAACTTGTATAATATAATTATAAAAAGGATCTTCATGTTAAAACTAGCATCAGAGTCGGATCAGGAAAAATAAGTTCAAATCTCATCCAGATCTACCTTCAAATAGATCTATCATCAGTTAACTTTTAAAAATCAAGTGAGCAAGAAACAAAGACGACCGAAATCAATAGAAAAGGCAACTACCGAAAACAATAGGAATAGTAACAGCAATGATAAGAAAGGCAACTACTGAAAACAAGCAACAAAGACAAAATCCAAGCTGAGATCTGAAATCACAAGCCCAAAGAGAGAGAGAGAGAGAGAGAGAGGGCACTGCAGTTTTTGCCAGAGGAAGCAAAGTGATAATTCAAAATAAAAATGGTACCTGTCAACTAAAGAATGGAGTCTTTGAGATTCTCTTGACCAAAAGCTCCCCTCGTAGCAGCAGAAGAAACCGTCGGATTAAAGACAATCGAATCCCCAAATGTAATGAAGACCGAAACTGTTAGATCCAATGGTAACTTTGGGCTTCAGTGGAAAACGGCGGCAGCAGAGCAGCAAACGAGAGGCAGAGCAACAATGGCAGTTTTATTTTGGGTAGTGACAGGTAGAAGAAAGGGAGTTAGAGCGGCAGAAACCTTTGAGAAAAGTAAAGGGAAAAATATGAGAAAGGGGTATATACTATTTGCATGAAAATACTCAAACTTGTTGCGGCGTTTTTTTTTTTTATAAACGCTACTAAAGGGCATGGGAACAAGACTCAAGCCTTGCGGCGTTTGTAATTACAATAACCACTAAGGTATTGAAAATTTATATAATTTATTACTACTATTACTATTTTGTGGCCATTTGCTAAAGGTATCCATCCATCTATTAAAGTAAACTTTGTAAAGCATTATTCAAAGTTAATAAAGCTTTCTTTCAAGCATTCAATGCCAAGATCTTTGAAAGGTTTAGGCTGACTTAGCCACTAAAAAATAAGTGCCTAAGTGCATCATGATCCAAAGAATAATAAGCTCGTGAAAATTATCATTATGAAAATCAATGAAAATAATTAGAGTTCGAAATGCACTCACCTTAATTGTTTAAATTCAAGCTTACCGACTTTACTTTCGAGCTTCTAGCTTTTTTCTTAAGAATTTGGAACATTCGCAACACGAAATGGCCCCAAATAATTTCCATCGTCATAAAAATAACTTAATATTTAGATTAAATTATATATATAGTACCTAAACTATTAATTTTACTTTATTTTAGTACCTGAAGTTTTATTTGTTTCAAAACATAACCTAAGCTTTACTTTTGTTTCATTTTAGTATCTCTCATAAATAATTAATAGCATAATTAATAGCATAACTATCGTGGCATTTTTCAAGTTTTTAAATTATTATTTATATTATTATCTAATTAAATTCAACTAATCAAACTAAACAAACCAAACTATAATTATAACCAAACCAAACCATAACCGAAAGTACAATAGAAAAGATAGAAAGAAAACATACCTTCCCGACGATTGGCATCTGTGACAGCCAGTATTAGCTTGAGAACAATGACAATGAAGAGTTAAAGAATAAAAGGAAACAAAAAGAAAGTAAAATAAAATAAAAGGGTGAAGAGTTTTATCTTTGGGTTCTCGACAGTGCTAGTTCCGGTGGTCGGCCGATCAATCCGAATGGTAGACCACGAGAGACCGACGAGTCAACCAACGTAGTCTAGTTTCAAATCCATCAAAAGGTGGAAGAAGAAGATCGAAGGATGAAGATATCGACGTGGGTCAGTCACTTAATCTCAACTGTCTGACTGACGTTAAAGGGTATTGTTGCACGAAGACGATGATTGAAGAACTTGGATTTAGAGGATCCATAATGTATCAGATGTTTAGCAGTAGTGGAGCGGTAAGTGTATAAAAGTACTATATTTTTCTACCCTTTTACTCATAATTATTATTAGACTTGAGTCTATTTTAGTTGCATTATTAGTCTTTCATGCATAATTTCATAGTTTCATTCACCATTAAGTTTGATATTACATTTTGGTTGGTTTTTGTGGAAAAGACATTGTTGGTATGTGTTAAGTTCTGTAGGATAATGTTGAGTGGATAAATTCACCTCATCAAGATAATCACGTCAAATAAAAGGAGAACCCTAAAAAGTTGGAATTCCACGTAGAGTTTTAAGGAGATAAGGAAGTCAAATTTGCAAGGAGATTTAGGATAAAGATAAAATAGATTTAGTCTCTATTTTATTCCAACTAAAATTCATCCTCATCGACAACCAATTTGACATAATCTTCTCCTATAAATCAAGAACCAAAAGCACAAGAAAAAGGGGCGGACAAGAGAGAGAAAGTTGGCACACGTCTTCTTCTTGATTTCTTCTTGATTTCTTTTTGATTCATGTTGTTGAGAAATATTTATCTTGTTTTCTTTTTGCACCCAGCCATGAATTAAATTTATTTGGCTTTGGTTATTGGGCTTTTGTGATTGTGAAAACTTTTGGATTTGTTTAAGTTCTTTATTATCTTTTTAATTCAAAGTTTGTTCATTCTTAGTTCTTTAATTGATTTCGAGTGAATTGGGAGATGATCTCGAGAGTTTGTCTATTTATCTAATATTGGGAGAGTTAGATTCAAGAAACGAATGAAACATGATCTTTATTCTAATAAACGTTGGTAAATGTTAATCTATCTTAGGGATAAGATTCGGATTTCAACGACTAAAAGGAACGCAATATCGATTGTTGTTTACCCTTGGTTAACGAAGGGATGTATCACCAAGGCATGCACAATTGACCAGTTCTTTGAGTTATGAATAACAAGAAGATATTGAAGAATGCTCTGCCAAGCTTTGAAGGAAGGAACCTAGTTGCTAAGGCAATTGAATTATTTTCAGTTGCCACGGCAATCAACTACTCAGACTTTCCAGACAGTTGTCACACCACTAATCACGATAATTCGGCCTATTCTCTTATTCAATATCAATATATACCTTTATTTACTTGTTCATTTATTTTAATTGTTATTTCACACTCCTACTATCACCAATTTATTCTTTTTACAGTGCAAGAAGTTAGAATACAGAGTTTCACCAATCTATGTGGAGACAATATCTTTTCTATACTATAACTTGAGACGTGTACACTTGCACCAATTGCAAAGCTCTCAAATCATGCATCATGGGGATTGTGAATCCCCTAGATGAACTCTTTCTAAATGAAAATGAGTTGTTAAAAAGAAGAGGAATATAATACCGAACAGAACAGAGTACATTCTCCTCGACAGAACAGAACAAAGTCAACACGAAGCAACAAAATCGACCAAACAAATAACATCGCAACCTAGCAGCTATCACTCCTAACACAAGGAAAGCACCAGAGTACACGATAATTCAAATTGACTGCTCACCTATCCACTGACTGGTACCAAAAAAACTTGGAAGGAACTCCTACCAAACCATTGCTTGATCTTATGAGAATCACAAATTGGATCGGTTTGAAAGCACACTGTAAGTCCAAGCTTGATTGAGCTAGACCATCAACTTCACCAAAGAACCAAAACCTCTCCTGGGACAACCAAGGCGATAACAGACCCGAGACGAAACGCCCACAGCCAATAGCACAAAAGTAGCCACCTTAGAAAACAACTCCAACCCCTTCACCAAGAATCGAGCATAACATCGATGGAAACAAGGCTAGCAACACGCAAAGATCAAATCAATAGAAAACACAACCAAGTATATAATACCGAACTACATCAGAGACAAAACCAAAGACCACCCAGAAGAATGACTAGCAGAGAACCAAAACCCACGACAACCTTTGGCTTAGACAACTTGCCATTAATCATAAATGTTAATTAACCCATACGACCATTAGGAAGCTGCCACCTTGCTCTTTCAAAGAACTTTCAACATATTAGGATCAACTTCAAATGGAATAGCACAAATTGTAAAATTTAAAACTCCTACAACAGAAAATGCCACAATCCCACGCCAAAAGCCAGTGGAGATCAATCCCACCAACAATACAGAAAGCAACAAACCTTGTTTCGCCAAATGGTCCGCGAACCCATTACTCCCTCTAGGAACATAGACAAACTTCACTCTTTTAATATGCTTCAACTAGTTATCAATCTCCTTGAAGATATCCCACCACCTCCAAGGTCTCTCAGATAACGATTCAACCCATTTTAACACTAGTTCAGAATCCGATTCAATAAACAGACTAAAGCTCTCACCCCAATCAGTTTCCAAGAACAATGCCAACGTCGTTTTTATTGCCACTAATTCTGAAAAATCTGAATTAATTGGATTCACAGGACTAGAAAACATTGCTTTGATATCTCCCTTACTATTTCTCAAGACACCTTCTCAACCCGCAGACGGATCTTTGAAAGCTCCATCCACGTTAAATTTCAACCAGCCCTCTAATGGAGGACACCAGGTCACCGAAGGAGACTTCATTGAAAAACATTCAGCAGAGGTGTTCCACCAGTCTGACCGGGGAAAGGGCTCGAGAGACAAAATTTAAAGAACAGTTCAGATTTCCTGGGGACAACCACACTGTCGACCACCAACTGATAGGATTATGAAATTTGGAGCCACTAGGCTATTCTCTGCTTTGAATTTGTTTTTGTCCCAAATGGTTAATAATCCACCCGATCGACCCACACTGCTTCAGCAAAGTTGTAATCAAACTCGTTATCGACCCATAATCTGCTCATTTCATTCTCAGTTAGATTTACCTTTTTTTGTTTCTTGGATAAACACCATTTCTTATTTGATGAAAACCCATTAGATTTTAGTAAAACAAACACAACACATGTAATAAGAAGTCCATAATTAGACAACTTATTGAAAAAAAAAGCATTCCAAAAATCAAGAAAACATGCAAATAACATTGAGTTCAATCAAAAAGAAAAACAACACTAAAAGCACCCACCAGACCAGAAGGCGATGTTCTTTTAGTAAAGTTGAAAGTCGACATAAAAAAGCTTCTCTTGTTATGAAGTATTTATGCACAAGATAATTTTTCTTAAAAAAACAAAAATTAAAGAACTTGTAAATTTAAAGAAGAGAAATTGAAAGGCTAAACGAAATGATAGGGGTTTATTAACGATAGAAGCGAGTTTATTAAGTATCTTTTCAATATATTTCTAATGGTGAATTTAATGATGGGGTTTTAGCCGCGAAGATTTTTTTTTGAAGTTAATGGTGAATTAACGACAAATTTATTACGTTTGATATATATTTAATGAATTGGTAACTGATATGCCAATATATTAAATGAGAGGTAGAAGATTTGTGTTCAAGACTTTTGAAAGAAAGAAAAAAAAAAAGGTTACAATGGGAAATATTTATCCTAACTTATTATCTCAAATATATAATATTTGAAGGATAACTATACTAATGTTTATGTACCTTTTCATTGTTTTCCATTAAAGTTTAAAAGTAATAAATTGGTTACTAATATAATCGAGTCTAGTTATTCGAGTTACTCTAGCCAACTAGAATTATTAATTCGGTTTTTGAGTTCAAGTCGAGTTGAAATTTGAAAATTTTAACTTACTAAAAAAATAAAAAATTTGAGTATGTATTTTGACATTTTTACGATTTAGTCCCCGATTTTATTATTCCTTCAATTCCTCCCCCATTTTGAGTCTATTTTTAGCCAAATTTGAACCACATTCTCCTAAATCATAGTAAAATATATATATACACTTTCAATTCCTCTTTTCGATAACAAATTTTCTATTTTTCAATTTAACCCCTCAATTTTTCATAATTTCCTTATTTTTTCAATTCATACTTTATTTTATGTCCCTTTCTTCACCAAATTTGAACCACATGCTCATATACTACTATAGAATACATATGCAACTTCAATTCTTATTTTCTTATTAAAAATGTACTTTTTTCACAGCCCATTAACATTGCATTTTACTCAATTTGATCTTTTAACGGCAATTGTTTGCACATTCTTTCATCACATCAATTCCTTAACTCTTTTATACTCTCATCAATATTTTACCTTTAAAATAAAGAAAAAATATAATTTTGTGAATAGACTTTTTATAATTTTAGATTGTATTTGATATATTAAATAACGCTATAATGTAAAAAGAATATGAAATATATATCTTATGGTTAGAGAAATTTGAAAAATTGGAACCATTCCTTACCATGATACTATAAATAATTATAATAAAATTAGCATAGAAACTCGAATAACTCGACTCAAATTTCTTAAACTCGACGCGAAAAAATTTCAAGTTTAGCTCTAGTTGTGAAATATGACTCGTCAACTCGAATAACTCGAAATTTTTTTACTCGACTCGACTCGATCGAATGCTCACATCTACTATTGATATTTAAGTGTAGAATTTGATTAACTTCATCATTGTTTTCTTAAATTTCAAACACCCATCTTAATTAGGAGCATATACTGGAATAATAGAACCAATGCCTTTAATTCGTATACCCAACAGAAACGAAATCTCTCTTTATATTTGATCCGAACACGCAAAAACAAGATTCTTGTCAAAACTTTTGGGAAAGGAAATCTTGGTGGAAATAAGTAAATTCTAGTAGTACTTTAAAAAACCCAGAAGCCTGAAGAGAAAGAATACGTACCTTGTCGTAGACTGAAGGGCGGTCAAGTTTAAGAATATCCAAAGCCCAGTTTAGCAAGCAAATAAAGCAATGCATAACCTAAGCTTGCTTGCTTGCTTATGAACAACACCAATTCTTCCTTTTGGTTTGCATCTATGAAGCAGCTACCTTCACATTTCTGTTTCTCTTTCATATGAAACAACTGATGAAGAATTTGCCAGAAATCTGGAATTTCAGTACCCACCAGATTACTTGCATATATAGGTAACAATTCTGATTATTATCATACTATTTATGTAAGCTTCTTTTATATAGATGATCGATGTTTATATAGATTTTGATGCATTAATGATCCAAATAAAGCTGAATATAGAAACATTTTTATCTTATGTAAAATCCATTACCTTTTTAATGCTCTAACTTGAACTTCAGAATTACATGCCTCCTACACCACCATCTCCGAGAGGAAGACAAAGCTGAATCTGCAATAATACAACTTAATTTTGGATTTGCAGAGAATACAGAACTGGTTTCGAAATGACAAGTTGGAATCGTGATTCAAACCATAAACCAGAGAAAGTAGTTGGAATTGCAGCTGCCACATATGTCATTACCTCGACCAGAGAACCGTGCATCCATGACCAGAAAAAGAGCAATACACGTCTTGAACCCTCTTTGATGAAAGACAAGAGCAAAAAGGAAGATGCGTCTTCAACATCAAAACCTGGCACTGTATCCGAACAATTTTTAGGTAAGGGTTCAAGGCATTCAGATATTCATGTAACAAAGTATTGAGAATTCTGCTTGACGCTGCTTAACCGAAAGAAATTAACAGGTGAAGGTTCAAAGAAAGTTTCAGAAAGAGCAGACAGCAAAGTGCCAGTAATCAATGCTGCATATGAAACGGAACGTAGACGTGTGCCATCATTTAAAAGACCTCTTAGTTTTTCCGATCAAATGGGCAGCTCTAGCCGCACACAACTCGGAAGTTCCCAGAACTCTGAAACACTTTACAGTCAACCAGAAAGTGCAGCGCCAAGACCAGACCAACATATCATGAAACCAGGAATTCCAGCAACAAGACCCGAACTGCCTCCAACTATTAACCCTGTGGCTCCAGTGACAGAAGCCGAAAGACAAAGTGGAGTAAGGGCAGGGTCAGAGCAGGCAAAAGCAGATTCTTGGGAGAAGGCTCAGATGGCTAAGATCAAAGAACGGTAATAATACATTGAGGCTTAGAAGTACTAACTATTTGGTACTAACCAGTTATGGCAATCCATTAAAGCAGGAAACTAACTTAACTACATTGAAAAAATACAAAGCCAACATTAGGGGGAAAAAAGTCCATCTTTCAATTTATCAAGCCAATAATAGCATATCAATAATAGCGTATCATCTTCTTTACTAACAATAAATTACAGGTATGTGAAGTTAAATGAAACCATAGCTGCCTGGGAGGAAAAGAAAAAGAAGAAGGCCAGAAGCAAGCTGGAAAAAGCAGAGGTTAGACTTATTTTCCTTTGTCCAAATTTTAACTAATTCTTAGAAACTATCAGCTTATTTCCTCAAGCAGAAGAGCGAATCGGAGAAAAAGATAGCAAAAGCATTGGCAAAATTTAGGAATGAAATGGACTACATCAAACAAGTTGCAGATGGAGCAAGAGGAGAGGCAAAGGCAAGGCAAAGAAATGACGAGCTTAAAGCAAAGGGAAAGGCAAATATAATTAGAACAACAGGAGAGCTTCCAGTGACATGCTTCTGCTGTCAAACTTAACTGATACTGTAGCATCATGAGTTTGAAGTTAACATATGTAAAGATCATTAACACAATGCGACTAACTAAAGGATGCCAATCACAAGTGGAAACACCATAATTTGAATTATTTAGCACTTGTTCCAATCAAGAATTCTTCAAGAACCTTGTGTAGCTTTACTAATATTTCTGATAACTGATGTTTAGTATGATCATATATGAAGCAATATAGCAACTGATGAAGAAAAACCCAGCCGATGAATTGGAAAATACCCTGTTGCTCCAAATAAGTAATAAATTTACATGCAAATGATCATGAATGAATTTGAATACTCTCAAAGATTGACAATATAATCCAACCTTCAATTGCGGCAGAAGCATGAATGAAAATCCAACATTTTCTTGCGGAAATTATAAATCTAAAAGTAGAAGAAAGTAAAGAAACCCGCTAAATTGTCCAAACCAACAACCATTTGAACACTTCCCACCTCAATTCATGAATAAAGAAAGTAGTACCTGGAACAGCAAAATACTAGAGGATAACAAGAACATGCTGCGAGTTTGAAATCTTAGTTAACAATATCTCACTAAGGCTATAGATGAAAAAGATTTCCTATATGATGAACAGGAAGAAAATTTTAACTAGCGGTGACCTTTAAGGTTAATGCAGCAAGAAATATTTTAATAATTCATCAGAGACAAGCAGTACGTGTGAGACCAAGTTAACCAGAAACAAACTCATTTGTGCATTCTGATATATTAAAAAAACAGTTAAAATATACTAGGCAGTAAAGCCATACACTGCAATGGCAAAAGGTTCAGTGAGTTATAGGAACGATCATCAAGGGCTAAGAGATTAAGCAACCGGAAAAACCATTTGTGTGACCATTGAACCGTTTGCAACAATATAAAGTAGAAAATTTTATATCAAAATGCAGAAAAAATTGACCATAAACAATAAAGAGAGCGAAATAACCAACACAATTAACTGCAAATTATATTATTTTGAGAACCAAGCTTGTACAACAGGTAAGGTGCCATTTCAATGACAGCTGATGAAGGCATAACCACTATAGCCAAAACAAGCTTTTGAGATGTTTTGAGGTCACAGTCCATCATGAAAACAATACATTAATCTGAGCTTCAGAATACTAAAAAAATCCCATTACCAGAAAAGGAGCCACTAAATTTCAAGTAAAGGAAGTGGAGTGAGAGCATCAAAAGAAGGATGACGCCAGATTACACCAATAGACGAGTTCACTTGGAACCATACATCTCATACACCCTGAAGTGGGAAAGCAATATCTCACGAGGTGATTTCTCTTACCAACCTTTCCAACACAAGAAATGCAAAGTACAATACCAAGAAAGATGGGATGGCAAAAACAACTGTCACCAGCAAATAGAGTAATAGGATAACAACACTTCCCATGACGCCGAATAGGATAGCGATTATCCTGTAGGCTGGTTCCAACAGATCATTCACAAGAGAAAATTCAACCAAAACTATAGAAAACAAGTCTCTAGGGTTTAACGAAATATTATAAAATCAAACAATGCAAAAATCAGTCCACAAGCCGGACTGTTATAGCCAAAAATCATGTTTATCCGAATTTTACCAAAAATAGAAAAATCCCGAATCACTCTAAATTGAAATTCGAAATAAAATAAACAATCTGCAAAAAATCCGGCCCAAATCGGATTTCAATTGACTTCCTAACTGACAAGCGAAATATAACCATAAATAGTAAAAAATAAATAAAACTAGTGATTCGGAGGGAAAAATGACAGAATTTGAGATCGAAAAAAGGCCAAATGGAGCCATGTGGACAACGTGCGCGTCAAAAGGGGCTTTTTGAATTGGGGTCTTATGCGCGATTCCGATACCCGTAGCCAAAGTTATGGCCAAAAGATTGAAACGCACTCAAAACGGCCCCAATAAGGAACATATCACAATCAACTCCCGCCTTTGCGCTGATCTGCCAACTCATGGTATCTTAGCGCCATCAAGGTGCAATCTGACAGCTCAACTTCATCTGTCTCGGATCCCCCTGCATCATCCCGGTATTGCAAAGAAGACAGCCAGAAGTAAAATGATAACCAAAGGGAACTTGGAAGTAAAGTGAATGAAGAAATCCAATGATTTATGAAGTGAGAAATAACACCTCTCTGCACTATTTCTGCCACCATTATCTAGAGACCTGATGTAATATCTCAAAATCATGGCTAGTGACCAAAATGAAAGTTTTAAAACTTTAAGGTATGATTTCAAAAGATTAAAAAGTTCAAGGACTTAATTGGGAATATTTTGTGAGAATTTGTTTAGTAAATATTTGATATAGTAAGGGGTAAACTGATCTTTTCAAAAGAAAGAATTTTATTCTCCCTTTATAAGGAATTAACCACGTGGAGATGGAGAGAAATGAAGAAAGCTCTGGAGTTTTTGGTTTGTCTCCTTCTTATCTTTCTATGGCTCCATTGGTAAGGTAAGTTGGTCTCAAGTTGGTTAATTCTCTTGTTTTAGAGTTGGTTTTGATTCTTAAAGTGATAAGAAAGCTTAAGGAAAGTTTTAAATAGTTTAAAACTCCAAGATGAACAAGTTATGAGAGATTAAGTAAAAGGAGTTTTTAAGTGAATTATTGAAATAAAAGGAGTTAATAGATTTTGAAGTTGAATTTGACTTGTCAAGGATCTAATTAAGAAATATGAAGTGTTAGAATTGGATTTAGAACAAGTGGAAAATTTGGTACGATTCTTGAATTCCATATAGAAGATAGGATTTTGGAGTTAGAGATGTGATTAATGAGTAGAAATGGGTTAAAGCATGTGTATATTAGTTATGAATATGTAAAGGGTTGAAACATTAAGTATTTGTGAGGAATTGAGTGAATTTTCGGGCTCAAAACATGGTTTCTGGACAAAGTGTATTGGTACCCATTCAACAGGTACCGATACCTCAAGAGTAAAATTCAGAAAGATATTCAAAGGGTACCGATACATAGGCAGTGTATCGGTACCCTCCTTGAAATGAAAATTTTGAATGTAATTTGTGTACCGATACGTAGGCAGTGTATCGATACACCATTGAAGGGATGTATCGATACCCTATAGTGTGTACCGATACACTTCAAAGGGAAAATGGAAATAAATCTTTCTTTTAGTTTAAGAAATGAAAATTAGAGTATGCCAAGTGGGATACTGGTATGTATCAATGTATGATTAAGTAGATATTGAACGTAACTATGTTCCGAAACAATCGAAGAATAAGATTCAAGAGAGAGAGAACAAGAGCTTGATATTAGTAAGTAACCAAGGTGAGTGCATACTATTAGAATATATGTATTTCTACATGGAAATTAGACTTGTGATGAGTCTGTTTCCGATATTTTGAATAGATGATAGCATGAGTCAAAGCATGATTAGGATTGTGTATTATGTGAATATGCCTTGCTTGTATTACATGTTATGTGATAGACATTTATGTGATATGTATTATAGGATAATGATCTGTGAAACAATACACGAATATTAATTGAGCTACTTGATTATAAGTCATAAGGTTACATGCATAGGTAATATAAGTTATAAGATGAGAATACATAAGAACATAAAATAAGCTAAGTGATATGTGAATATGAAAACTTGACATGAGTTACCCGATAATAAGCTATGTGATTAAATGAGAAATGATATAAGTTTATGTGTGCTATATGTTATGGTATGTGTTACATGATATGTGTTAATACATGCGAGTGTAATAAATCATGTGAATCGATATAAATCATTCATATGATAATATAAGAATATGATATATATATATAATGATTAATAATTGATATTGTGTGAATATGACTTAGATGCATTATATGTCATATGAACCTAAGAAGACAAAAACCTAAATTGTATGATATGAGACCAGTAAAGGAATGTATATATGATAGATGTTATGAGAAGAGGTATATATATGAATTATATGAAAAGTGACATGAACTACGTGAAAAGAAGCTATGTGACTACATGTATATATGAAAGAAGCTATAAGCTTATATGAATATGTGATATGAAGGTGTATGTGTGAAATAACTTAAGTGATCATGCCCATGTTATGTGTAATGGGAGCTAGAGGTATAGTTGGCATGCTATGAGTCGAGGGTTATCTATGTCCTTCGGGACATATGGACAGTTACCTATGTTCTTTGGAACATATGGATAGGTCCTTCGGGACACAGATTTCATATGCCACTTAGTGAACCTTTATATGAGTTGTGGTGGCAGCATATTTGTGCACAACCTCAATGCACTCGCATATCTTTAGTTCTCATATGTGTACATGGGCTAAGACAGAGATAACAACAAACACCTTATATATGTGATATATATGATTAGGTGATAAGAGATGAATTATAAAAATTTTATGATAATATGTTTGATTCTTTGTGAATTGATCTAAGTGATATATGATGTGCACATATAGTGAATAATAGATCATATGATAAGAAGGATTGACAATAGTGCTAAGTGTGAATATGATGATATATATGCATGTGTGTATTTGTTATATGAAAGATTATATGTTTGTGCATTATATAAGCATTAAGTTTCAGCATGTATGAGTTAGAATTTCATTATTGTTTATATGTTTGTGCAGGGTTAGTCTTTTCCTTTAAAAGATATTCTTCCCCCTTTTATAAGAGTGAAAAACGTGGGAAGAGAGCTATCTGGAAGCTTTCTTCTTCTTGCTTTCTCTTCTTCACGTGGGGCTAGCTACAAAAGGTAAGTTAATTTCAGTTGGTTAATTCTTAAGTTTTAAGCTTAGTTTTGATTCTTTGGGTATTAAATAAGCTTAAGGAAAGCTTAAATCATCTTAAAAACAAATGATGAAGGGGTTATGAGAGATTAAAGATTTGGAGTTTTTATATGAAACTTTGGAAAAGAATTGATAAGTAGAATTTGAAGTTAAATTTGACTTGTCAATGGTTAAATTAAGAGATTTGGAATGATAGAATTTGATTTTTAACATATAGAAAATTTGATATGATTTTTGAATTACATATGGAAGATAGGATTTTGAGGTTTAAGATGAAATAAATGAATATAGATTGGTTTAAGTATGTGTACTAGAGTTAAGAATAAAAAGGAGATGATATATGAAGTGTTTGAGTGAAAATGAAGGAATTTTCGGGTTGAAAATATGATTTCTGGGC